TGTCACCTTTATCTTAACCGTTATCCCTCAGGCTGTCGTAAGGTTGTCCATTGTGACAACCTCACTGCAGTCTGATCTTTGCTCCTCCTAATGAGTCTGATTGCATTTTTCTGTTCTTTGGTTTCCTCACTGACAAAGCTTGCACAATGTTTGCACAGTGAGACATGCTGCTCTGTGATATGCAGTCTTTTCTTTTCTTTTTTTAATGAGCAGAAAAGTAGGGTGGTTTTAAGCATGAACCGAAACATCAATCAGATCTTTTTACTGGTACTTTGCGGTCCATGACCTAATCCCCCCCCCCCGGCCCACTTGGCACAGATTGGTACAGCTAGCGGGTGTTCGATGTGTGCAAAGGGGGGGTCAAAGTGAATCAAAGAATGTTTTGTTTCAGGCCTTTTTTCAGTAAAACAATGTTTTTCTCCACATTCACAGTCTGAGAGCAGTCCAATAACAGTTTTATTTTGTCTGTGTAAAAGGGTGAGCAGCTAACATGTTATTACAAAACTAGGGGTTGACATTAAGTGAAATTGCCACTGGTTTTCAAAGGTCACTGGCCCGATCATTGTAGCCGCTGGCCCAGGAACGTTACTTTTGATATGAAAAATAACAGTCACCAATTTAATCTTGAACCATTCTAATGCAAAAGTAAATTACAACTTTAATTTAATCAATTGAGAACAAATTATAAAAATATTGTGTATTTTTCTTATATTTATGAGCTCGTGTTTACTCACCATGCTGGTAACTGTAAGACTCTACTTAATCTGACTGATATTAATATGAGGCTGTGATGGAGCTGGAATTGTTATGATCACCTTTCTCTCCTTCTTTCTTCTCTGTGAGAAACTCTTCATCCTTAGATCTTTACTTTAGGAGCTCTCTTAAGGGCTAAGATGCTTTGTGGAGATCTTTACCAGAATCTAGTCTTTAACTTTAAGGTGAAATTGAGCTGCAGCGTGTTCCAGCTCCAGCTGTCTGTCACTGTGGCTGAAACTTTTCTCCGTTCTGTTTTCGCCATGCCCTGCTGACACTCTCGACTCTTCCGGTGATTTTTTCCCTTTGAATCCTGATTTAAGTCCGGCTTTTGTCGGGATCTGATGGTCTTAAAACCGTTTTACCAAATGTGTTTTTTATTAGAGAGAACCTGCGCTAAAATCCGTGTGTGAGTGTACAATTCGAGAGGGACAGCAGTGAAGCCGTCTACTGCCTTTCAACTGTGACACACAGGCGCGCGCACGAACGCTTGATACATTCATGCTGTAACAGTTATAAGCGCAATGTTTTTAAAATAATTACAGACAAAACACCGGTATGACAGGATAGCGCTGTGAAATTAAGAACGTGTTACTGTCTATTTTTTTTTCAGGCAGTATATGAACTGGCCCGAGCGGGCCAGCTGAACGTGCAATCAGCTGGCCCGGACTCTATTATTTTAGAATGATCATAAATGGACATTGAACCTTACAAAAGAAAATATTTCAGGGTTATCTGTACTGAAGCTCAGTGTGTGCTATCTGTGTGGTGTTAAGTTCATCACACTAATCATGTTAAACAAAAGGCATCTATGTAATTCAAGCTTAGCTTAGGGAGGCCCAGGTCCTGACCTCTGTCCTCCTCTGTAGTTCATGTGAATCATTTGAGTGTCACATTAGACATCTTTTGAATCCCTCTGTATCTGTCATTCAAATCTGAATCCATCCTCTCCTCCTCAGGCTAAGTTTGACGCAGCAGCAGAGGAGGTGAAGAAGCTGACGGAGAAGCCAGCCGATGAAGAGATGCTGCAGGTTTACTCTCTGTTCAAACAGGCCACCGTAGGAGACGTCAACACAGGTGAGACCGTCTGCAGGATCTGTAGCTTTGGTTAGAGCATTTCTACTAAAAATAACTCGACAGCGAGTTATTTTTCATGTTCTGATTTCGGTTCTTTGGAATATTAGCGTTCTTGGATATATCAGACCTTCAATACATACAGTTGCAGGAAAAAGTATGTGAACCCTTCGAAATTTTTTAGTTTTCTGATTTAATTGGTCATAAGATGTGTTCTGATCTTCATCTAAGTCTCAACAATAGACAAACACAGTCTGCTTAAACTAATACCCCACACACAATTATATGTTTTTATTGAACACAACATGTAAACATTCACAGTGCAGGGTGGAAAAAGTATGTGAACCCCGAGGCTAATGACTTCTCACAGAGCTAATTGGAGTCAGGACTCAGCCAACCTGGAGTCCAATCAATGAGACGAGATTGGAGGTGTTGGTTAAAGCTGCCCTGCCCTATGGAAAAACACACTCCAGTTTTGAGTTTGCTACTCTCAAGAAGCATTGCCTGATGTGAACCATGCCTCCTGTAAAAATGACTGCAAGAGCACAGCGCAGAATGCTCAACGAGGTGAAGAAGAATCCTAGAGTGTCAGCTAAAAACTTACACAAATCTCTGGCACATGCTAACATCTCTGTTGACAAATCTACGATATATAAAACACTAAACGAGAATGGAGTTCATGGGAGGACACCACGGAGAAAGCTACTGCTGTCTAAAAAAACAATGCTGCACGCTTGATGTTTGCAGAAGAGGACCTGGATGTTCCACAGCACTACTGGCAAAACATTGTGTGGACAGATGAAACCAAAGGTGAGTTCTTTGGAAGGAACACACAAACACTATGTGTGGAGAAAAAAAGGCACAACGCACCAACATCAAAACGTCATCCCAGCTGTGAAGTATGGAGGAGGGGGCATCGTGGTTTGGGGCTTTGCTGCATCAGGGCCTGGACAGATTGCTATCATGGACGGAAAAATGAATTCCCAAGTTTATCAAGACATTTTGCAGGAAAATTTAAGGCCATCTGTCCACCATTTGAAGCTCAACAGAAGATGGGTGACGCAACAGGACAACGATCCAAAGCACAGAAGTAAATCAACAACAGAATGGCTTCAACAGAAGAAAATACGCCTTCTGGAGTGGCCCAGTCAGAGTCCTGACCTCAACCCGATAGAGATGCTGTGGCATGACCTCAAGAGAGATCCAGTGATCCAGCCTGTGGCTCCTTTCCTGCATGTCATTCCCCACTCTCTCTCCCTGATTTCCATCTCTATCCACTGTCCTATCTCTACATTAAAGGCACAAAAGCCACAAAATAAATCTTAAAAAAAAAAAGAGAGAGTGATTCACACCAGACATCCCAAGAATATTGCTGAACTGAAAAAGTTTTGTAAAGAGCAATGGTCCAAAATTCCTCCTGACCGTTGTGCATTTCTGATCTGCAACTACAGGAAATGTTTAGTTGAGGTTATTGCTGCCAAAGGAGGGTCAACCAGTTATTAAATCCAAGGGTTCGCATACTTTTTCCACCCTGCACTGTGACTGTTTACATGTTGTGTTTAACAAAAACATGGAAACATATAATTGTTTGTGGGGTATTAGTTTAAGCAGACTGTGTATGTCTATTGTTGAGACTTAGATGAAGAGCAGAACACATTTTATGACCAATTTAATCAGAAAACTAGGAAATTCCAAAGGGTTCATGTACTTTTTTCCTGCAACTGTACTCATGTTGTTTTACATTTGTCTTCCTGCAGCTCGTCCTGGGATGTTTGACTTCACTGGGAAAGCTAAATGGGACGCCTGGGAGAAGCAGAAAGGTACTGTTTTTTAATTTAACAGTAAAATATAAAAACACTTAGTTTTCCTTTAACCTCCCCATCACATGTATTCAGAGGAAACATAAATTCTGGAAGGAAACAAAAAGTTGTGGAGCCAATTGAACTTGTGTTTGTGTTTTAAATTGTGACTTCAGACATGTACCTTCTTATTGGGTCCTTACCTAAACCCTAAAAGATTTCAGGTAGTTTACAAATATTTCATGTCAGGCCTTGCTCACATGCTGTAAACATGAGGTTGCTTTGGGGTTGCAGCCTCCACTTCTTAGGAAGGTTGTGGGGAAACGCTGTAGATTGATTACTTCTTTAAACAGTCACCATGTGATGCTTGTACTGACCTACACATTTATTAATAAAGACAGATGTTTTTTGTTTATTTTTAAGATTTATTTTTTGGCTTTTTCTGCCTTTATGGTAGAGAAAGGACAGTGGATAGAGTCGAAAATTGGGGAGAGAGTGGGGAATGACATGCGGGAAAGGCGCCACAGGTCGATTCGTTGAGGGCTATAGCCTCCGTGCATGGGGGCGGACACAGTAACCACTAGGCTACCTGCGCCCAAAGACAGAAGTTTTACAGTAACATGTGAAGCTTTAATTCTGCAAACCAGCTGTTACTGACTATTATCTAAATACTGACGGTCATGATTCAAAGCTGTTAATCTGAGAGGAACGGGATGAACAATATTTAAACATTCTCTAATTACTTTAAAAGTTCCTAATTATCATAACATTTTCAACTTTCAGGAAAGAGCCAAGACGACGCCATGAACGAGTACATCTTCCTGGTCGACGAGTTGAAGAAGAAATATGGAATGTAACATCAAACTATGAATTATAACCCTTCAAGGCCAACACCTGGATGCCCCCCCCCCCCCCCCCCCCTTGCATCCTGACACTGAAGCGCCTTACAACAACCAGCAGTGTCCTTAAACACAGAAACACAGAGGACTGTGTGCTGGACTGTGATTACGAGATTAAACTGATGAAGAAGCAGTGATCAGAAGTCCGATTGAATATCATGTTTTCAGATTTGATGTCATGTTTTCAACCTTGTGTATCTGCAAAGTCCTGTCATTTCAATATTAAAGCATTCCTCTTGAATACCTCTTTTTGGCCTGCTTGTATTTTATATCATGTTTCATATAATCACATTCCCCAAACTCCACTGAGGTCCTGACTACTACAAGGCTTTCTCCCACCCCCCTCCACCCCCTGCTGGCCATTAGCAGGACTGCAGGTTTGAGGCGAGTCCACTTCTTTATAGTACATTTTAGAAATGAGAGACATTTCTGTCCTGTGGGTTTTGGCAGTGAACGTACACATCTTTGACAGCTGTTGACTTTTTTCAAATAAACCTTTATTGTTCTATTGTGTTCAGCTGCGACACAACACTCATGAGCAGCAGAAAATGATAAACCTGACACCACTTACTCTTCTCTTAACACAAACCTCTAGTTTAACTGTGCTGTGACGTCTAACATCGTTATTTAAAGTATGCCTGTAAAACTTACACAGTTAGCAAACAGTTCTCCGCAGCTTGGCATCGAGGAAGTCAATAACATACAATACTTATAGGTGTGATAAGATGCTAAGGTATGTGTAGGCCTATATAAAGTAGGTTAATGTACAAATGAAGAAAACCGTAGAACAGCAGTATTGAGATATGTTCATAAATGGAAGTAATTTGACTAAACGTGTGCAACCACTCAGAGGTAGTGAGAAGGACTCTCATGCTGAAGCCGTTAAAGGATGGAAAAAAAACAGACGAAGAAGAAGTGATGATTTTACAATCAGGAAAAGGAGCATCGACAGTCTGCGAATGACAACATTTGTATGGACAGAAAACTGTTGTTTTTTTGGCATTTGTTGCCGTGGTAATCAATTAATCGATTATGCTGTGGACATTCAGGGGAAATGTGAAATAAATGGGGCTGGATGCGGCCAGAAGATTTCTGCACGTGGTGTGGTTCCTCTTACACCTGGTCGGACTCTGGTGTGGTTGAGGTTTTAGTGAGCATAGAGACATTAGTTAGAGCTCCTCCACTGTGACTCAGGGAGCTACGGGGTCTCCTGGTCTCCACCTGCAGGGTCTGCTTCTGCCTCCACCTCCTCCACCTCCTCTGGAGCTCGTTCTGCACCTGCACCATCAGAGACGTGATGTCATTACGTATGACTCTGAGTGAAGGTAACTGTAGCATCAGAAGACAGTTAATGAAGGAGTATATTTTTATTTTGTCACAAGGAAAAATCAATTCTTACTTCTGCATTCAGGAAGCAGTACAGAAGAGCTACAACAAAGCCCTGAAACACACACACACACACACACACACACACACGCACACACACCAGGCATTACAGACACACACACACACACAAATCAAGTATGTTACACACAAATACACACACATCAGGTATTACACACACACAAACACGCAAACATCAGGTGTTACACACAAACACACAAACACGCACACACATCAGGTATATTACACACAAAAACACAAACACATGCACAAATCAGGTGTTACACACACACACACACACACACATACACACACACACACACACACACACACACACAGACACACACACACACACACACAGAGTCAGTGTATTAACATCAATAAATGGATTAATTTACAGCCTGCATGTCTGAACTACAGCCTCTATATTTAGATCACAGTCAGCGTGTTTGTACCTGAGAGGAGGCGAAGGCGAGCTCGATGAAGGTCCACACTTTGTACGAGGAGTCGCTGAGTTTGTGAGGGAGGAAAGCAAACAGGACGTAGTGTAACCCGAACAGAGACACGAGCAGGAATGACGACTTGAACAGTTTCCTGTTGGAACAACAATAATCATTATTAATGGCTGGTAGAGAGTTTATTCCAGCGTCTGGATTATATCTGCTGACAACACTTCAGGTATATCGTCTAAACAGCTGCAGACATCACTGCTTCCTGAATTAGAGTTATATTTAGATCGTATCAGTTTAACCACATGGCCTCGAACTTCTGCACAACCTCATTTGGGTGATTTAGCCGACTCTCTGTCTCTTTAAGATATTTAAATGTTTTGGCTCCGTTGTGCTGAGGGTTTAAAGTCAACGTTAACCTTGTTTTATAAGTTTGGATGATTTAAAGAATTTGAAGAACATTACACCAGCAAAGGGACATACTTTATCGCTGAAAGCTGCTAAATAATAGTTTGATGTAATCTCTTCATGTGGAACTTTTTATTACTGCTGTTTCAGCCAGGAAACCTTTGTAAAATATATTATAGAAGATCATCTCTAAAACCCTCCACAACCTGTCTGAGCTCCTCCAACAGCACACTCCCAGGACTGCTGACACAAACCTCCACCTTCAAGAAATCCCTAAAAACTCACCTCCTCAACATCGCCTACAACCACTAACAAACTCTGTTCTCATCTCATCATGCTCAGATTCAAAATTCTAATGTATTATTGTTATTTTATATTTTACATCCCTGATAAAATAGAGATTAAAATAAAAATGTAAATAGATAAACAATGATGTTGTTTAGTTTAGTTTATTAGGATCCCCATTAGCTGCAACTATTCTTCGGGGGTCCACAACAAACATTACAGTGACTGTGTCATCTTACAACATAAAACCAACATAACACTCATTAACATAAACAACATTCAATATACAGCTTTCATCCAAACACATAACATTACAGTACTAACGTGATAAAACAAGAACACAATGACAGAGTGAGGACAGTTTAGGAAACAATAATAACAAATATGATTGTACAATTTATGGCTCATTTGAACCTGTTCAGTTCCTCTACACAATCTACTGATGAATTAAAGAATACATGTAAATATGTATACATGTACCTGCAAAATGAATGAACGAATCTGCCTAAATACACACACATAAATAAATGACTAAATAATTGTGTCTCACCTGTAGTGGTTGAACTCGCTGCCCGGCATGTCCTGAGTCCTCAGTTTAGACACCAGGATTCTTATTATACACAGAAAGAAGGACAGGTTCACCTGGAGAACAAATAGAGAGAACTTAATCTGAAATACAGCACCATATTAAATCAATATTATTATGTTATAAAGGTAAAGATCATAATAAGAGGTTCAGACTGTGCTGCATCACAGTGTTGTATTTAATCCACATGTTACTGGATGTTTAAGTCTAAAGGTACACACAGTGATGAAGAAGAGTACAGGTAGTCTGAGGATCCACCAGATCCACCTGATCCTCCTCGTCTCCCAACAGCTGCAAAATAAAAATAAAACACAAAATCAGACAGAGATACAAGTCAGCACTCAACATGACTTTATATGACAGATTACATGACAGAATATACGGACACACTAAGTATTTATTTAAGTATGCAACTACTTTTTTTTCTTTAATTGTATTCTGTCATATTTCTGACAAATCTGCTGCTTAACCTGTGTACATTGCAGCATCCTAAGAGGTTCATTCTTACAACTATGTTATGCTTACTGAAACCCCTGTCCACAGGCCAGATGTGGCAAAACTCTGAACTATAAAATCTGCTCCACACTCTAAACAGTATGACATAAAGTCAGCACTAAGAAACAGGACTGTGAAAACCAGATTGATAGATGAGCTCTCAGGAGAAAAGAGGGCTATATATCCAGAAAATAAAAATGTAATTACAATTCTAAAGGCTTATTTTTGATTCTTGGTCATACAGTGTTTGTGATGTAAATAAATTATAACTGAGCCTACCCCTCATCTTCATGGAGGTACCTCGCACTACTCCATCCAATCAGAATGATCATCGGAGAACCTTCGAGAAACAGACATAAACATTTATTATGCCTTCTAACTGTCCTTAAACAAAGGTTAAATAAATAACAGTATGTGATGTGCAGAGAATAAGACAATCAAGTAAGAGATGTGATTAAAAAGACGGAAATCACCCCAGCAGAGGGCGATGTAACACCACAGACGTCTCCTCGAGGACAACAGAGACACACTGAGCAGGCTGTACAGGAAGTGACCCTCAGCCAGCAGCCAGCTGTAGTTCGCCATGATACTGTAGTTAGACAGAGCCGTGGCTATTTTACAGCCAACCTACAGGGGGCAGCAGAGGAGACAATTAGCAACTTTTTACCCAAACTGCGGGGGGCAACAGATGAGACAGTGAGCAACTTTACAGCCCACCAAGAGGGGGCAGCAGAGGAGACAGGAGACTTTGGGGGGGCAGAGAAGGCAGAGAATTTCCAGCTGTCTGAAGTAAGTACATACTCAATCTTTCAGTAGGCAGTAGGCAGTACCTACTATCCGTGCTGTATACTGTTAGTACCTACTATTCAGTATGCGCACACAGCAGGCAGATATTTGTTCCTATTCTTCTGATTCATTCAGTATGGAAGTGGCGTCATTTACGTTTCCCGAACCGTCCGCATCCACCCGTTTCTGTTTTTTGTTTAGCTTTGTTTAGCTTTATTCAAGAAGAGTAATGCACATATACAGTCAGGTAAACAAAAAACAATATCACAATGTAAATCAAGTAAAAGACAGCTTAAATAACTAAATAACATACAGTACATAAAGAAAAGTACAAATGAAAGACAGTAATATACAGAATATAAAATAAACCAATAAAGACACATTTAAATAGTTAAATCATTATTCAAATAGAGGGAGAACGGTTTTATAATAATGCAGACATTTGTTATATTTTCTGTTGTAAATTAAAAGTAGTGATTTCAGACAGGACTTTAACTCTAGATTAAAAATTGATTCAATTAATCCACGCTCGTTTGTTTTGATTTGGAGAAGTGACGTGAGGTGACGATTTACGTTTAATTTCGCACAGCATTGTGGGTGGTAAAATACAATTCATTTCCTGAAAGCACGCATCCGATCCATACTGCATGAAACCCGGAAGTTAGTATCCATACTGAAATGTTCAGTATACTGAGGTGGACCCAAAAAATGCACACTGAATGACCAAGAAAGTTCAGTATACTGAAACTCCCTACTGAATAGTACGTACTGCCTACTGAACTGTGACAATTCAGAAAGGGCCAGTGTCTGAAATTGTCTGTCTGCAGAAGGTGATTTTAAAAACAGGTCGTAGTGCTCATACAGGCTGACAGCTGACAGTACCGGGTAGACGCCACAGTGGAAATGGTCATCGGTTGAGAACAGAACTGAGTCTCTGATGAAGATGAGAGAAGCTCGCAGCATGAAGGAGAGGAAGAGCTGGATGTGGACAAAGTTACGTGTGCAGTGGAGCCTCCTGGTGGAGAGAAGACACAGTTTGAGTATGTGATTCTTTTACTCACAGGAGAACAAATGGTTAACAGAGCTGTAGCAGAGAAATGAATGATGTGATTTCTATCAAAATCTAGTGTTATTCTGTTTGTATTATTCTTTTATATCTACAGAGAAAACTACAAATCAGTGCATACTTTGTCCACTAAGGCTTTTTTTTTTTTGTGCTAGCAGCATCCATCTTTAATTAAACCAATGCAGTTCAGCGTTTTCAGCGCTCAGTGTCTTTTAGTCACTGCGCTCACAACACTCTAAGTTGAAAAAAAGTTAAACTTCTGGAACAGCGTGTCACTTCTCCCTCACTGATCAAACAAAATCAAGAAGGGGCGGGACTTCTGAGATCAGCGGAGAAGAAACTAATCTGACTCGTCATTTCAAAGATCAACATTTTCCAGGTTTTGAGCTGCTGCTTTAGGTCTTTACATTCCTCTCATGTTGTCTTGCTGAGTACCGGTAAATATTATTCACACTGAGCTATCTAACTGATATTACTGAGGGAAGGGGAAGTTAACTTTCATAACCTAGCAACAATGAGCGCGTATCATGTTCACGTTCAGGTTACTTTATTTGTACCTGTAGGTAAATTTGGTTGCAGGGAGAGTCAAATACTAGTCGTTACAGTTGCTCTAATACACAACATTTCTACTTCTATATTTTGTGTTAGAGCAACTAACAGAAGGAGCTGGCCTCGCATTCATTGGGACTATTTTCTATTGCGGATTAATTCCCAAGTGTTTCTTTATAGGGAATTAAAATCCATAAGTGCTTCGTAAAGTAACTTTTGATATATAAAGAGATGCATGATGATGGTGGTTATTAGTTCTTAATTCTCTCTAGAAAACAAAATATCCGGTGTCATATCAAGATGCTCGCTGACCTGAAGAGACAGAGGATGGCCACAGCGATGGAGAGTGAGGCGAGTGAAATGGCGTATCCCACAGAGTACATGATCCTCACAAACAGGAAGTAACGCTGAGGCTGGTACACCTGGACAGGCCGTTCAAACACACAGAGAGCAGAGCAGAGGAAGGGTTAATAATGTGTGTGTGTTTTTCTGATTTAAGACGACTAAAAATAAGAAACATCCTCCTCAGATTGTGACCGTTTCGGAAGGGAATACAAATGATCTTTACCTACTAACACATGTTTCTGTAAACCTCTGATCCTAAAAATAAGAAGTAAGAGAGACAGAATGCATCTACTAGACCCAGTCCCTGTCTCTGTTTGTGTCTTAAATCAACTCAGTGAAGCTCTGCTATCCTCCAACAGGAAGTTCTCCCAGCTGACAGAAACCAGAGCTCTGCTGTTAGTGCATGGTTCACACACTTAGATCCTCTTCTGAAACACAAACAGGACTGTGGGAATGAGACACAGTTTGTATGAAGGTCAAAGATCAGGTGAAGAGACAATTTAAGCCTCACCCTAACAGAGCTGGAGAATATTTTCACTTGGTGACAATGGTATAACTACCAACGGAGCAACAGGGGGGCCTTTGGGGGGAGGGGTCAGAGGCGCTGCTTGTCAACAGGTGAGGCAAACAACTGCTTGGGGCCCCAGAACAATAGGGGGCTCATGAGGGCTGACAAAGTTAAACCAAAGCAGTTCCCCAAAATGTACAAATTTTGCAATGACAGTAGGAAACCTCCCAAAGGGGGCCCCATCTGACAGCACTCGCTCTCTTTGACCTGGGTTGCTGTGTAAACCAAAGTTTGTCAATGAATGTCAACAAATAAAGATGAAGAGGAAACATCCTTCTATAAAGGAGGAGTAATCATCGGGAGACTGGAAGACGTGATGGTGATGAACGCTGGTTGGAGGCGCCCCCAACGATTTTCACCCAGGGTCCCACCAGACTCTAGAATCGTCCCTGGGGAGGGGGGGGGGGGGGGGACATAATCACTGTTAGTTGATGCAATATTATTACTGCTGGTAAGCGAGCACCTTCTGGGCTCTTTAAGTAGGAACTGTCAGTTAAGAAAAACATCGTGCTCCTGCCTGTTGAGGAAATTAGTAAGAACTTGACTTCACACAAATAAACGATTCAGGTGACTCATATAGCTTAAGTTGAAGAAAGTTTATACCTAAAAGAATACTCCGGATCTGAGATATGGAGTAGCAGAACATGTCTGATGCTGTGTCCCTGCTATGCCAATTCTCCCAAACTCTCCCAATGCTTTGCTATATATCAAAAAGACATTATTGACGTCAAGGTCATACTGACCTAAACTAGTCTGTGATGTCTCGGACAATTTGGAAAAGACAATAAGTCTACCAAACAACACTACAGATATAAAGGGAAAAACCCCTTCACACGTTAATGCTTTCTAGTCACATCAGCTCTGACTGACATCAGAGAACAGTGAATAAACATAATGATGTGTTACCTCTCATATGTTGGACCTGAACTGTGTGTCTAATAGCCGCCGAGCCGTTGATGATGAATAACGAAGTAATGAGTGCACAAGTGTAGCTTAATTAAACCATGCTGAGGTGGTTTGATGCAGGCTGTTAGATCAGCGTGGACAAATGAGAGGCTCAGGCTGCTGTTCAGAGTCTGGTTTCTATGACAGTTTAATGTTTTTTTTTCTTTCTGCATGGTGACATAAATCGTCTAGCATCTGTTTGGGGGAAGTGGGGAAGGGCCCAAAAATATGTATTTGCACCTGGGTCCAACAGATTTCTGTTACGCTGCTGCGTATGGGGAAATATCTGATATTATAGGCTACAGTAGTTTTGTTATCATCAACAAATCTCAAACAAAAACTGCATTCAAAGTCTGATATGTCTTCTTCCTCTTTGCCGTAGAGATATATTGTTAAGAAAAAACTATTTAAAAACACAGAAAGACCTGTGTGATACTGTAAGTCTGCAAATGACCTTACTATATGATCAGACATTAAAGAAACATGCTATGTTGAAGTGCTGGCTTCTCTGACAACAATGCAGCAGCCAGTATGTCATCCTTCTAACTTTAGATTCTGGTCCTGAATGCTCTGGATTTTTTGGATAGGCGGTTTTAAGGCACCCCCACACGGCTGTTTTGGACGCCCCTCAGTTTACCAGATATGAGAGCAGTTATCAGGTCAAACCAGCAGGTGTTGCAGCGATGGAAGTGGGCAAGAGAACTGGTTCAGATAGAAGTGATTGTACCCGACTTAAAAAGCCTCTGCATGTTTCTAATAAGCTCCACGAGCAGAAACGTGCTCAAACTAGGATCAATATTGGAGATGCTTTTGAAAAATGGAGAGAGGTTAGAACGCAGAAAGGTTTACAGACCGATGCAGAGCTGGCTAAACACTGAAGCTTCAGTGTCCACCACATGGCAACCTGCGTGAGCATCAACTCTAGAGAGAAGGGGGCGGGGGGAGACAGCTCTCTGCAATGTTTTGGAATTGGACTGCAGTACCCATTTGGAACACTAAGAGTCAGAGTTACATATTACTCCTTTAAGCATCAACAAATGTGTATCATTCCGAGATACTGTTTTCCTGAATAACTTAGCCTTCATACATGAACAATGTAAATATTAGTCTTTAAAATGATGAAGGAATAGATGATTTGTTACAGGTAAGCAAACATCTCGAGGTCAGTCAGATGAAGTTAGAGAAGAGAATTAAGGTTCTTCATACCTCTGCAGGTAAGCTGTGGTTGAATCCGTACTCGCAGGCTTCATCATGTGGAGGGAAAGGCTCCGACCATCCACCATCTGTACAGTTTCTGAACACTCGACCTGCACACAAGCGTAATGCATAATATTAATTACATATCAGTTAAACATATTACACATACTGAGGATATTTGAGGAAGCTGAATTACTCTACTAGAAATAATTTACCTAGTAGTGTGTACACCGTTAGAAGAAATTACTTGCTCGATATGAAGAGAAATTAAATGATATCTTGTCAAAGCCAAAATGATGACATATATTCAAATCAAGCCCATTATGTTACTGAATCTGATGTTAAAGCAAACTTATGAAGAAGTCAGAGACGTTTGGTCGCTCAGGTGAGAACATGAATCCTTCCTCTGGCTCCTGAAGTCGACGTCATCAAATTTGCAAGATATCAAATTAGCCCCTTCAGTGTTAAAAAAATCAACATACCCATCTCTTGATCTGTAACATCCAGGTGGGACAAAAAACAGGAAGTGGGCGTGTCTCTGTGACTCACCTGTGGTGTGTAAAAACCTGGGACATGGTTGAGACACGATGTCTCCGACTGCAGCGTGAGGCCAACAGTTCAGATGATCCCACCAGCCCCTGCAGCCTGTCAGAGAGATTTTTATTATTCTCACGACCAAGGGAATAAAAAAATGTTTTTCTGTAAAGTCAGAGGCAGTGTTTGTACTGGCTGTGGAGAGAAAAGTGTAAGTATTTAAATGTCACATCTTATCCTCCTGTTAAACATGTTTAAATAAGTCTCAGAGCTCCCCAAAACATGTGAAGTTTCTTGTTTTAAATCCACCCTGATCCTGTATTTGATCATGCCTATAAACCCCTCTATTTCAGCCCTGCTCAGAACAGGCTGTTTCTGTGTCTGTACCTTTAAATATAAATGAGCTGTGTCTGACCACGCCCCCTCTCTGGAAGGGCTTGAGTGTCTCGGGCTTTCTCGCTCCATGTCCTATTGTTTACGGTCAGAAGGCAGACTCAGAGGGCAGAACAAACACCGAGCTGTGGGAGTGTCACCCACCTGGGGGAGGGGTTACTGCCCTTTGTGATGTCATGAAGGGAAAATCTCCAAATGGCCTTTTTGAGCACACATTTTCTGAAAAGTGGAGCAGGCAAAAGATGGAGAGGATGGACTTAACTCATAACTGGGGGATTTTTATACAGACTAGAAACACATATTAGAGTTAGAAAAACATGGTGAAGAGCAGTTTGCATAATATGTGACCTTTTAGAAGATTATATTTAGATTTTATTTAATAGAATCTATCAGAATATTTGCAATAACAGAATATTGTTAGTTTTGTATTTAGTTTATTTAAGTGTTTTTATTTAACTTTCTGTTTTATTTTGTCATTTCACCCTCCTCGTGTTCCTTCACTGTAATCCTCTAAATCTATAGGCAAGGCAGGCATCTGCTTTGGGAGGCCAGTAGAAGTAAACAAAATACAAAACAAAACAAGAGCAAATCAGGACAGTTTTTGTGATTTAAAAAAAGAAACATAACAGATTAAAATCACTCCCTATTATACGACATGAAGTAATATGAGTCTCTGATCAGTTTTGACCCGACACCTCGTGTCTGACCTGATCGTCTGAACCATCCGTCTCTTTAATGAGATTCTAGTCCAGCTCTGTGCTCTGAAGCAGAACAACACAAGGGTTTATTCTGGGCTGTAAATGTGATCAGCTCACAGATCATGATATTACCTGCTCCATGATGGCTGAAGGTACGGGACATTTCCTCTCTGCTCAACACGTTTAATGAATTAAAGCGTTTTTTTTCTGTCACTCTTTTTTTAGACCTCCTGGACTAAACAAATCTTCAAGCTGAACACATGGGTTTTAACCCTGAAACAGATCTCTTAATGGCGTTTTAATTAAATTAATTGACATACTTTATTAATCCCTGAGGGGAATTTCTGCTGCAAACATACTTCTGGTATCTTGTAACGTACGTCCATACATTTAATTTGACTGAGTTTTACTATGAAAACAAATTCAATTTCAGTTGTTTTCTTGAAATCTTCACCTCTTTATCTCGTTATCTCAGGATAAGGATGGGTTTTACCTGCCTTCGTTTTAAAAGATCTCAAGAATTTAAGTCATTATCTCGGGGAAACCAGCTTCGTTATGGTGAGATAAAGAGACAGATTTGTTGGGATTTCAGAAAATAAAGGAAATGTTCACTATATGACGGGAAAACTGAGTTAGATAAAATATAAATGAGCATATCTGCTTGGCTTTCTTACGTTTGATAAAACTGATAAAAGGTAACTTCACACACGAAGATGCTTCCTGAGTGATCATCTTTACGTTGTGATATTTTAGTTGTACAGGAGTCGCTTTAGGGCGGTAAACATCAGTAATAAGTCTGAGTATAAACCTCACCCTGTGTTCCTGAGCTGGAGGAGCTCCGGTTGTTTCTGAGCAGCTCAAAACAGGAAACTTCATCCTGGAGTAAGATGTAGTTTGGGTCACACTCTGGAGGAACAGCTTCAGTCTGCAGACACAAACAGAGAGCTGGAGATACACTGTACAGAGACAAATACATGCAATATGGAGAGGAAATACATGCATGGACATTTTGGTGTAAATAAACTTTTACAGTTCTGCCCCAACACTTGAAGTTACTCAATAAAAATGATTAAATGTGAAATAAGGCTTACATGGATACAGCAGTGCAGAAGAAGCGTCAGAGCTGATATTCCTGCTGGTTTCCACATCGAGGCGACATTTATAACCACAACAAAAACTCACTACGTTTAAGGAACCAATCTGCAGACACTGAGAGGAGAAAAAGTGAAGAGTGTCAGAGCTGCGTCTTCTCCATAAACATGCCTCACATCTGAGAGTGTGCAGCTCTTACACGCACACACACTGAGTGAAACACAAACACAAACACACACACACACACACACACACACACACACACACACACACACACACACACCCCTCCCTCCTGAAGAGCACACAGAGGTTTACCCCTCCACCCCAGCCTCAGTCAACCCCGAGATCTTACTACAACCACACCTCCATAACACCTGGAGCCTTTAAAAGATGGGTATTGTGATCAAAAGTACTGAAGCTTTTACATTTTATTACACTGGCTTGTAAGAGTAAAATGAACCCTTCAAAAATTGCATTGGCCATGTTGAGATTTGAGCGTCGGACTGCAAGAATGCACAGAAATATCCCAACTTTGCCAACGTTTTTGTGCAACTTAGACAGTCTGCAGGAGCTCACCTGAAATATTTAAATGTATTATAATATAATTTAAATAATTAAATCAAATGTAACTAATTAACCGATTACTGCGGCCTAAGCCTTTTATTTTTGTTGCTGTGGAATCAAACTTGTATTGATATTGTTTAACTTTTATGAGAATGATTTCAAAGTTTAAAAGTCTGGTATTGTGATTAATTCCAATATTACTAAATATGTGTTAACCCCCGTGTCCACCTAGCGTTTCTTTCTGAGTGCCAGTGTTTTTTTTCAGTTGTTTTCAATAAGTAGAGATGGTTTGCAGCAGAAAGCAACCACCTGGAGAAAAAATCGAGCGCTCAAGATGAAAATCTTTCAGCTTTTCAGAAAGGCGCTGTTGGTGACACCGGCGCTCTTTTCCAAATGTTTGATATTACCCGTAGTTTTACTGCCTAAGGATCGTGTCTTCATCCTCCTCGCTCCGTGTCTGATCGGGTATAAAACGATCTCAAGTATAAAACATGCAATAAAAAGTAATGGAGCAGTGTCGGTCATACAGCGACCGTTCTCAACAGACTGTTGTCATAGAAACGGGGTGTTGGTGTTCATGCAAACACTCCTGAGCGCACAGCCAGCACTTTTATGCTTCAAAAACCACTCTGTGGACACGGGGCCTTACACCCTTTAAAACCTCTTTCTGTTTGAATTCAACAATCACAATGAATTAAATTATGTAATAAATGCACATTTTGGTATTTGAGTCATTTTCAAGCATCTAGAAACTAAGAAAGAGTTAAGATCCAGTTGAACCTATAGTTCTGACTCAAAGAAATCCAAACTGAAACTAAAGATTTATTTCAGGACCGATAAAGGCCCCTCCCTCTATTGGGGCCCTGGGTAGTCAGACCCACTCCCCCCCCCTATCTAATGACGTCATCACTGAATATTCTCAGGCAGTCAGGTAGGGAGCGGCTGATGCTAGTGGAGCAGAATAGAAAGCCATTGTTGTCTTTATATCTGTACATAGAACATCGAAATAAGGAAAGGCTTTCACCTGCTTGAACACACTGGGTGTAGACGGGTGGGGTATTAGCTGTCCTGACTCCATGTTACAACCGTCCATGATGTTAAACCTGGAGAGAGAGTATTGTTCTTAAAGAAAGGTTACAAAGCTACTGGACTCTGACTGGAGGAGTTCATCTTTCTGTAAACATTCGGATCAAGTTTCTCCTGAGACATCAGAGAATCTAATAACAGGCAGCCGGATAGATGAGCTCAGACGTCAGACGATATTACATGAAACCACAGAAGCGCGGATCATCTCGGAGCAGAGAGCAGAAAAATCAATTCGCAGAGCAGAGGAAATCCTTGACAAGCAATGGCATAAAGTCATAACGTGGAGAGAACATGTCTCAAAAAAGCCCAAGACGAGACAAAACAAGTCTTATTGTTACATTTTGATGTCACGTCCAGAAATAAGTTAGAATGTCCAAGATTCATTCATAAACAACACAAAAGCCCTTTGCTTTGTCTGAATATATTGAGATGTTTTATTGCATGTCACTTTACTGAAAGTTACATTTTCTTCTCAACATTTTGGCTTCATTTTCAGCACCTTTAAACCCGACACATTAACTTCAATTTTAGCATTTCTACTGACATTTTGACTCCATGTGGACTAAATGACTTGTTATTACACTGCAGGTCACTCCTACACATTCACACACTGATGGTAGAGGCTGCTTTGTGTCCATCAGTATTAGCCAATCCCATTCATACACATTCACATGCTGCTGAAGTAGCAGCAGGAGCAACTTGGGGTTCAATGTCTTGTCCAAGGAGCTGGAGATCGAACCCCTGACCTCCCTGTTGAGACAAACTGATGTTACAGCTGAGCCACAGCCGCTCTGACATAGCCTACATATATTCAACATTTGGTTCATTTTCTCCTCAGACCTCGAGGGCCACAAAGAGGTATTCTTGCTTTCTCCACAACTCCACCAGGTTCTCCTCCTTTTCAGTTATCTGCTTAAAAGTTTTAGTTGTAAATTCCACCAGGTGCATGATGGGAAATAATCTCAAAAAAGGAATCTAATTGTCATCTTGCAGTTAGAGACGCTGCAAGATCCACAGTCTTTGCTAAGTCTTAGTGTGTGACTAAAAACTCCTTGTCTTCAAATGTGAGAGGGTGTCAGACCTTAATCTTAAAAAAAAAGTGCATGAAAGGTTAGTCCTAACTTTGACAACATGGTATGTGTTTTATACATGTAGAAAAAGGAACATCTAAATGTCACGATCACTAATTGTAGAGCATTCAGCAGTTTCTTTTGTGTCCACATGGGGGCAGTCTCGCTCTCTCTCCCCGGCGCCGAGTGAATCAAGCTGTGTGGTGTTACAGCGTGTCTGTTCTGACAGCAGCGTTTAAAGAGCGTACATATTTAATGTCCTCAGAGACACAGAGAGAGAGAGAGAGAGAAAGAGAGAGAGAGAGTCTTTACCCGCTGACAGGAGGAGGTGACATCAGTAGATCAGCTGATTCTACTTCACACCAAGTCATCACACAGGACAAAGAGTCGTAAAAAAACATCAGCCTGCAGCTCCTGAACCAGCATATAAAAACGTATTGTTCTTCCTGTCAGTCAGCTCTACCCTCAGACTTTATATTTGACTGATAACTTCTTCTTCTTCTGCTGGTTTTAACTCTGCTGTTGATGCTGTTCTTGTGGAGGTCTCAGTCCGGTTCGAACCAGCTTTGACCCCTTCCTTGAATATTATTGTAAAGATACTGTCATTCTAATTAATTTCTAATAATAGGCACAACGATGAGATCACTAAAGTTCAACAGTGATTCATCCAGGAAAGTGTGATTTCAGAGTGAGGGTGAAAATGATTCACAACATCAGAGGGTGATAAAATAACTTACAAGGCCGTGCTGGCCAGCGTGGGAATGTGAATGGGGGCGACTGTGATTAAGCACGGTACAGGACAACTTTGCTAGTGCGAGTGCGCCCTTACTCATCCTTGATAATTGGTTGGTTAAAGGGACTAGATCGTGAGCGCTGGGCAAGAGATTATGATGCTTGACCTCCAGAAGGGTGAAATAAGGAGGGTGATAACAAGCTGACAGAACAACAACAACAACAACAACACTGTGAAACAGAACTGTGACTACATGATGCACACACACCACACATTCCAATCTGCACATTGCACTTTGACACCCTGGACACTTACACACTGAAACTTTACACTGTTTACATTACTCTATATTTTATATTTTGTACATTTAAATAATTATATTCTTATTTTTTACATTATATTCTATTTTACTGCATACATGTGTATTAGTAATTTGAGTGTTTATTGCATGGCCTTGCGGAACAGTCTTTACATTTCACTGCACATCTGTATGAGCATGTGACAAATAAAAATCTTGAATCTTGAATCTTGAACAACAAACTAAACTCTGAACCATCAAGTCAGACCATTTAAGTGCTACTCCTCAGTGGTCTGACTTTCTCCACATGAAGTGGATCACAGCATAGCCCCTCCCGAGGTGCCAATGAGCAAGGCACCAAACCCCCAACAGGGCGCTCTTTCCCCTCATGGGAATAATGAAGAATATTTTCTTCTTCTTCTTCTTTTCTTTTCTACCCTGCAGCTGTGCAGAAGAGAGGTGACCATTCAGGGTAACTGAATAAACTAATTGAACAGATGTGGAACATTTTTTAAACTCCTGTTGCAGATTCTAAAAGGTTTTCAAAATGTACAATACTTGGTAACTTTTTTCCCATACTGTGTGTTTTAGAACGACAGAATCAAAAAAGTACTTCTATTCTTGTTGCCGTGGTAATAAAACAACATCAATATCGTCTGATGGATGTGTAAATGCTGCCTGCAAACACATGGTGTCCTAAAGAAGAATGAAAGGTTAAAGCATGATGTGAAATCAGCTGAGTCAGACTTCTATCCAGAAAATCATATTTAAGAAACATTATGAAGAACAAACTAATATTTTAAATAATAAAACTGCCTGACTGGATGAGTTAGAATACATTTTTATATTTGCATTTTTACACTAGAATAAAAAAGAAGAAAAGAGAAGGGAGAGGAATGCCTTCAGGGAATCTCTTGAATCCACTTAATTTGTTCAGTGTCCTAAATTAAGCCCGCAGCTCCCATAAATTAGCATGTCGTTAAGATTCAGGCTCAAACTGATTCAAATATTCATGTGTTCTCCGCTCTGCAGCCACACCTTTAATTAGTTTTAGAACACGGCTTTGTCCCGAACAAATTAGGTGCAGCGGCCTGTTTGTCTGCACAGATAAAGACAACACCTGAAGAAGAATAAAGAGGAGGCGGCGCTCCCTGTGGGAAACAAGTCGAGCTGCAATTTTTGTCAAGACAACATCACATAGACATTTTTTTTTTCCAGCCTCCAGTGAAATTGTTAACATGAAAAGTTTGTCTCAGGTTTACATCACTGGACCGGGGCGGCTGTGGCTCAGTTGGTAGAGTCGGTCGTCTCTCAACCTGGAAGGCTTGGGGTTCGATCCCCAGCTCCTGCATCCACATGTGCCATGTGTCCTTAAGCAAGACACTTAACTACGGTGGCTGAGAAGTGCAAAGCAAAATTACAAAATGTGAAACACTT